GAAGGCAGCCTGCAGGGCGTCCACGCTTCGCTGCACCTCCGCCACCTTGGCCCGGGCACCGGGTGGCAGTCCCCGCACGCAGCCCGCCAGCGCGTCCACTGCGCTCTGAAGCTCCAGGGTCAGGCTGCGAGACAGGGCCAGCGTCTCCAGCTCCACCTACAAGAGCCCAGGCTCAGTTTCCCTATGCCTCTAATGCAGGGTCTCAACCCGTGGGCCTTTTCACAGGGGTCCTGTATCAGATATTTACATCGCAATTCATAACAGTAGCAAAATTACAGGTATGAAGCAGTAATGAAACAATTTTGTGGTGGGAAGTCTCCACAAGTATTAAATGGTCACTGCATTAGGAAGACTGAGAACCACTGATTTAATGGAAGCTCTGGCCTGGTTTAGTTTCCCCATGAAATCTAAAGTGAGTGCCTTGGCTTGCCTCAGTTTCCCTTATGGACAACAATGGGGGGGTCAGTTCTGCCATACTTTACCTCATTGGACACAAAAGAGAGTATATGTTCTGCCTCAGTTTCCCTCATGGACACCCAACTTGGTGACTGAGAGCACTTGAGCCAGGGTCTCTGCCCAGGGTGGATCCTGCCTTCCCCATGGCCCCTCACCTGGCTGTGGCTGCGCCCATTCTCCGGCCATGGACTCCAGTCCCCCCACAGGTCCTGTACCTTTCGGGAATAGGGAGTGGGGATGGGGCTTGCCGAGTTCTGCATACGGTGGATCTGTGGGATAGGGACACTGGGCGTCAGGCTGGAGGCCTGGGTGAGTTTGCCCATCCTAGCCTGCAGCTGGCCTCCAGCAGCCCTTAATGAGCACCATCTAAATGCAGCCAACCTTGAATTCTGTTGGCCAGCCGGGCCCTTCTCCCCTCTGCTCCTTTTGCCCATAGGGATCCCTGCTTTGCCCAGCATAGAGTCTCCCTCCTTCTCCTGCCTGAAGAAAGAAGGTGAACGGGTGTATATTGTATCGTATCAGTATTCAATATTCAACCAGGAAAAGGGAGAAACTGATAACTGTCCCACTGTGGGTGGCCCTTGAGATGAGGCTCAGAGGGTGACAAGGCAGGACACACAGCACAGAGCACTCCCAGGATGCTCCAGCCTCACACCCACAGAGACAGGAGAATGGGAAGGGGCCCTGGGAAATGGAGTTAGTACTGAACAGGGGCAGAGCCTCACTGTGAGGAGATGACGGGTGGTGGGGATGGCTGCATGGCTTCCTGAGTGCCGGGATGACAAGGCCTGAGCCACCATGCCCAGCGATACCATAAAGCCAGGGTTTGAAAATGAAGCAATAGATAAGGCAAGGTGCTGTGGCCCCACACAGCATGTAACTGTGGCTGGACACACAGTGAACTTTCTCAACAAGGATTTAGTAACCTGACTATGTACAAATTGTCCTATCAGCTGTAGGCAGGGCATGGCCAGCCATACAGTAGATGCTCAATAGCCGGATATAGGGAGAATTGGGACATGGCTCAGTGCTGAGCATCTTCCCAGAACGTGTGAAGTCCCCATCCACCCTAGCACTGGGAGTGAGGAGAATCTGGACCACAGGAAATTAAGGAGCACATGGGCACAGGATGTGGTACAGCATAGGACACACTGCAAAAGGCAGGGGCAAACAGTGTATGTGTGCTGTGGAACACTGTTCAGCCAGGAAAAGGAGGGAGACTCTAACACCTGCTCCCACATTGAGTACAAAGGCACACTCTTTGGGGTCCCATTCCCAGGAGGCCAGGAGAAGGCCTTGGGACAGGTAGAACCTGTGGGAGGCAGGATGGGAGCCGGCAGGATGGGAGGACTATCTGGGCAAGAAGAAGGAGGAGGACAATGACAAAGAAGAGAAGAAGAAGAAGAAGAAGAAGAAGAAGAAGAAGAAGAAGAAGAAGAAGAAGAAGAAGAAGAAGAAGAAGAAGAAGAAGGTGGTGGTGGAGGCTGGGCAAGGGCTTTGAAGGCAGAGGTCACTGTTAGCTGTGAGAGAGTGAGAGGTAAAGGAGGGAGTGGGGGGGGCAGAAAATGCAGTTTGGGATGAAGGCTGAGGTGTGATCTGGGACCTAGGGTGATGTATCCGGATGGGGTCTCTTCCTGAATCCTGGGAGCCCCACCCAAAACCCCGAGCCAGCCCCCCCCACCCAGCAAGA